TGTAAATGGAATACATTGCAAACTGTTAGGGCCATATTATTATATGGGGACACAGCCGTAATGGTGCAACATTAGCATGACATACTTGGTCTCTGAACACATTTTCCTTACATAACTGCTGATTTTGTTGTCGTTTATTTGTTCAGTTTTGTCTTTTAACCCACAAAACTACACACAACATCTTTGTAGTATGATGCTCACGCTGCTGTTTAGTGGAGAAAGGGCAGTCAGCTTTGTTTTACAACAAGGGAGCTGGCAAATGGTCTCGGGACATTTCTTCCACTACCCTCTGGATCTTCAAAATTATGTTAAAAAAAAAACGTTTTCCCGATATTGGATTGGCAGTAGTACACATAGGTCGAAATAACAAATAACTCAATGCCCCCGCCAATAACACTATCCTTAAAAGGAAAAGAAAAATATATAATGGATGATGTTTCAGGAAATGGCCCTTTTTCATAATAGATATATCGCATATAAAATACCCTAAATTCAGATGTAGGAGCCTTTGGCATTCACAACAATCTTAAATATCCTGGGGATGGTCACGTATTGACTTGAGCAACTTGCAGTCTTCTGTAAAAATCACATTCCTGCGGAGGGAGCTGGTAGAAACGTTGGGTTGCTCGGTCAATGGCCAGGGTCAACGGCGCCGTGGTGTATTCCGCAAATATTGCCGACTGTGAGGGCGGGCACAAGCCGGCGTGAGTAGGTTAAACGTTGAGTTTTTTAAGGGCACCACGAGGTGACCAACCCCTCCCCACCCAGCCCCACCCCTCCCACCCCCACCCAGCCCCACCCTCCTCACCCAGCCCCTCCCCACCCTCACCTCTCCACCCAGCCCCACCCCTCCCATTTGTGGATACACGACGGACGGACACAAGAATCCCCTGTGGGCTGGTGGAACCAGGTGGTCCCTACCAGTAACACTGGCTGTGAATATATTTTTTTCTTCAATTGCTAAAAAAAAATGTATTCATCAGAGTAGTAATATGTAATACTCGTCTCTTGCATAAACCATCATCACGCAAACTCCAGTCATCCTCGCAGTGGCTTTTGGCTGGCCATCGAACAAAGACGGTCACTGCATCGCGCGCTTTCAGATGCACTTCAGCTGCCTTGTTGACCGCCTTTCCTACCGATATGAGGAAGCCACTGGGAGCTCTGCGCTTTGAAATCTAGATTGAATACTCATTTCTTTGCAACTGATTTTTGTCTTTAGTTTGTTGTCCTTCCCCCGCACACTTAGTGCTTGCATGCTGTGGCTTCCCCATGCACCACCACTACAGTGGCGCTGCTTTGCAGCAGCCCTCTTGCCTTGTTTGAAATAAAAATTCTTCATTTTCAAGTTTGTAAAAACTACAAGTGCCACTTTGAATTTCTGCATGCCACAAATTGAAGCTTGCGTTTGCAGGTAATGTGTGGGTGTAGCAGATCGGACACAGATGTACAGTGTAAAGATAACGGTGTATTTTTCAATTTAAAGCTTTCGTGACTGCAGGGATTCATCTTCTTGGTTCTTTTGGTAAAGTCACGTAGAAGGGAAAAAAAACATAATAAAATAAAATTTATTGTATTAAATAATAAAAATAAAACATAATAAAATAAAATTCATTTTATTATAGTATTATTATTTATTTCCCTTATACGTGGCTATACCGAAAGAACCAAGAAGATAACGGTGTATCCCCTGCAATTGCTTGCTCACACTACTGCTGGAACAATGGGCCCTTCCACTTGTGGGAGCTTGAGTGAATACCTCTCGAGGATCGTTTGGTCGACTCGTTCACGCTGGGAAGATTTCTTGGAGGAAGAGGTGGCAGTGCCCACACTTTACCCCACCAAACACCCTGCTGTTCGGCTGGTGGACATCGTGGAGATGGAACAAATGACCTAACCATTACTCTGTGGCATCATCAAATATATGCACAGAAAGTGAATATATTTGTACCTGTCAGTGGGAAAAATCATAATAAATAAATGAAATGCTATATACCACAACACATCGCTTAGCACACATTGGGATCATTGTGTATCATTATAAACGTTCCATTGCATCATCATAGCGCACTTTTCCTGTTAGATTTTTTATTGATCTCATAACCAAGCATAGTTATATGACTTTGCATTGCTCGCAAAGTTGTTCCACAAAGACAGCATTGGTTTCATTTTACAATTCAAACAAATTGATTTTTACCTCCTAGCATATTTTTCATGTTCCATAAAATCACTTTTGCTTGTTTTTGTGTTATTATTTCTGCAAATTCGCTATTAAAACCCCAGGTAATGGATTGCATCCGGTGAACGGAAATGCTTGCAAGTGCATTTTTTGTTGTAAATGTCTGGACATGCATATTTTCGACATTTTAAAGTGGCCATTAACATAGAATGCACAGGCATTAAATTTGCAATGTTTGCAGGGGTATTTTTGTGCGTTTCGTTAAAGGTCTAGTATACAGATCGTTAGCCGATGAGATGAAAATATGTTGTGCATGTTAAATGCCCAATTTGCAACTTCCTGTTGTCATATGTACAGCACTTGCTTTTTACAAATCAATCACACGTGTAGATTATGTTAATTGGGCAGCCAGTGCGTCTCCAAACCTTAAGGTAATGTGCAGTGTACGTGCATTTATATAAATATATACACTTTGGAATATGCAACGCTGTAATGTATGCATCGTGCCTGGTTAATGTGCACTGCACACATTTTTAGCGAGAGTATCAACTCCAGCAGCGAATATCTTTGCTTTGATTGTCTTTACTTGGAATTCATTTTTTTTTTAAAACTATGCTTTGTGCTTCCTCTTCAGTAATTGTGGGATACGTTACAGGAGCGTGTTTGGCATTTCGGGTGTTTGATTTATAGCAATATAAATACCGTACTGTCAACATGAAGAACCACAGTCGAGGGTGAATTATGAAAGCAGTGCAGGAGTAACCAACCGACCTGTGTTATCATGATTGCAAGAGCGATACCTAATTATGATGACCGAGGCTGAATTAGTTTTTTTGCGAAAAAAGAAAACGTAATAAGTAACCAGCAGGTAGAAAATAATAGGACATACATGGGTTCCCGGAACACATCATTAGATCAACACTGGCTTTTGATGTGTTTTCTGGAGTTATTGATTTTTCTTAATGGCTATTGGTCATGTTGTAAAAGTATTACTGTGTCTTCGGTAAAAAGGTTCACCAACGTGCACATCGCTTGAGAGTTTTACGGAAGTGTTGTATACGATTCCCTGCTCCGAGTTGCGCAGCATGACCTCCGATTTTTTTTCTCTCTCCAACATTTCAAAGTTGGTAAAACGTCTGCTAATTCCAGTTATTATGATACTTCTTTTCGATGTGATTGTAAACACAGTATAGTTATAGCTCATTCCATGGGGGGGGGGGGTAGGGGCTTGTAACTAAATGCGGTTATGAGTTAAGATTGTAATAATAAGTGTCCTGCTGATAATACCTCATTCTAAGTGGCCATTTAATGGCAATAACACGTTGATGAATGCTCCAGTACTTCAATAACAGTTCATTAATACATAATGAATTTGATCGTAATGAACAGTTATTATGCATTAATTATTGAATTACAAACCTGCTATTAGGGGCTTTAAGATTGTATTCGAGCTAAAGAAAAAAATGTAGTGTGTGTGTATATATTGTATATACATTCAAAAACGCGCATGCAAATGCATAAATATAATGGCCATTATCCGCTGGAGACCTTGCAACAGCTTTTAATTGTGCCTCATTTCATAATCTTTTCCTGCGTCTGCTTGTGCCGGCGAGGTGTGTGCACGTTTCGCATCGTGAGCTCCCTTCTCGTCGGACCGGCTGGCGTTTGCAGGCTGCGTGATGCACCCAGCCGGGGGAATATTTTAGCTGTTTGCCGCTGATAATTGGCACGCAAGAACGCGTCTTTAGGCAGTCATCATGCGAGGCCACCTTTGCCAGTGTTTCTCACAAGTATTCACAATTTGACGAGAGGAGTTTTTGAATGTTTTTTAAACGAATGGGGCGGGGGGGGGTAAAATATCAGGGATAAATGGGAGGGGGGGATAAATTGGGGGGGGGGGGTAGAATGGGGGGTGGGGGTAAAATGGGGGGGGGGGGGGTGAAACAAATGGCAGTGGGTGATAGTTTGAGCTCTGCTAGTTCAACCCCTCCGCCTCCCCAGTGCTATGTCACAACACGTTGGATGTCACAACAATTTGGAGGCTGAATTAACGGAACCGGTAAAAAAAAAAAATATCCACAATGCTCATTACAAGGTCAAGGCCTTGTGTGTCATTGTTATGGTGAAGGGAACGCAATCGCAAATTCCCGTCTTTTTTTTGTTCCCCAAGTGGGAATATTCCTCACATGTGTCACCTTCTCATGTCATTAAAAAAATGTAATTATAAAATAATATCTACGGCACAGCTTTATACGCATTAGTATGTGACTAGTGCAATGTAAGTTACACAGATTGTGATAGGAAATGCTGGAGAAACTACTTACAAAACCAGGACTAAATTCCGTGATCATGTCCACGCATTAAACTAATAATAGAGATGCTGCCGTGGTGCAATGGTTAGCACACTGGAATTGCAATCCAGAGGTCACCGATTTTATGCGATGTCCTGGTGCAGCAGTGGAAAATAATGGGCAAATGTATTAAATTCCTAACCTCTGTCCACCCACCAGTGTAAATGGGTATACCCATCGTCGTTGGGAAAGTCACGTGTGGTGTGATAGATTCGTGGTACTCGCACCTCTTTCAAAATGTCTCGTAAGCATGGAAGAGTAGGCCAAATACGCTCTTTAAAGCTGCCTTTTTCGAAGGCCCTTCAGTGAGCAGTGGTGTGAGCAGGGCGACACCTTAACCTGTTTTGTTTACTTTTTATGTTATTGAAATTAATTATTTAAAAATACATACTTTAACGACGACCAATCCCTTGTCCTCCCTTGAACACTGACCCCTCCTGTGACCCCGTTGTGCCCACCGACTCACATAGGACGACGGGGAAGCAGGCAGGCATGGAGAATGGGCAGGAGGGCCTCATAGAGATGGCTGTGTTCTCTCCGGCATACCAGGACCTCAGCTACGGCGATGGGTACGCTGCCGTTGGGGCAATATCTGCACCTCTTTGAATGTCACCTCATTGTCATTTGTTTGCATCGTGCAACAGTGAGCAAAGAAAGTTGTACAAACTAAATGTCAAAGTTTTTCCAACTCACTGTCCGATGTGTCTTTTAGGTTGTATCTTGTGCTGTACGGCACGATGCCGGCTCTTTCACTCCATGTGCCGGGAGCTTTTTCAAGAACTGAATTCAATTCTCCCAGATTATGAAACTTTGGACATCGTGCCAACCAACACGCGGTACAACCCAGGATATGTTCAGCAAAAAAAAAAAGTGAAAACCTACGAAAGGGTTGTCCCACTCGATGGAGGGCAGGGGTGGGGAAGCACTCATGCTATATTTTCCAGCCCTAAGCCACCAGTCAATATGCTATATTCCTATGGTTGGGGTGAATTTGTAATCGGATAATCCCTGTTGACTTGCCCATACATTGGTACTCATTTTGTCAACTCTAAGAGGCATGAATGTTCCACACCGTGAATGTAAGCCCCCACACTCCACCGCTTGAAAACCTTATCGGCTAAAGCAAGAATATTCGATGCAAAGTATAACAACGCCACCAAAGTGCCATATAAACAACATCCATGGCAGTCAATTAAGATGAAACTAAAACAACAACACATTTTATTTTAAATGTTTGATGTGTGCTAGATATGCATGATGCATGCCGTCACGTGATCAAGGCACAGTGCATCACGCAATGTCTCCATCATGTTTAAAATAATAAATATTTTTCCATATTTGCCTAACCTCTTTACATACATAATCATACTTTAACTATTAGCCGGAATTAATATTTACAGGCACATTACTCCGTGGTTTGTTTGCTGTTCTTTTTGGCGTATACCTTGGAGTTCCCTTTCCTCCGCGTGGCATTGCGGAAAAAGCACAGCAAATGTAAAACAAGCGCAGCGTCAAGCCACTTGAGAGTCGTGTGCTGCACGTTGAGTCTGATTGGCAGCCTTTACGGTTGTGCAACGTTGTATCAAGTTTATTTTTGCATTAAAATTGTTGTTGTTTTCGCGTTGGTAGACTTAAGATTATAGATCCATAACAGGTCTCAGCTTTGCAAGTAAACTTGAAATCCAGAGCTACATACAAGCATGCCCGCCACCCGCCCCCCCCATAGTTTGAAATAAATGTGTGTGTGCAAGTTTGGGATTTCATGGCATTAGGGGTTAGCCTTGGTTTTTAGAGAAAACACTAGTTTATATGCAGTATTATACAATGTGAAAAAAAAGTGAAAGTGAAAAGCAGTATTTGAAGAATCAATAAATAGCGCATAGACCCGGGCAAGGCACCACACCGAGCGACTCCCGCTAATGATCTCACAGGAGAAAAAGGTGTCTTTTCCCATCTCGCTGGTTAATCTTCAAGTTCTCGATGCTCCAAAGGGCCACACCTCGTCCACAATCGCCTTCAAAGAGTTTGTATGATTTGGAGCACTGGATGCACCCTGCTGATGCAACATAACAGGTTTAAAGCGCTGCTGTTCAGAAGCCAGACACGGTTGCAACGGTACATCGTTGCTGGCGAACACAATATCCGCTTAGCGATGTTTTCCTGCTTATATTCTTGGTTCTTTCGGTAAAGTCACGTAGAAGGGAAATAATAAAATAATATAAATATGAAACAATTAGAATTCTCACGACGTTTCGACTGCAACACAAGCAACACAAATTTTTTATTTAAAGCTTTCGTGACTGCAGGGATTCATATTCTTGGTTCTTTCGCTAAAGTCACGTAGAAGGGAAATAATAAAATAATATAAATATAAACAATTAAAATTCTCACGACGTTTCGACTGCAACACAAGCAATGCTGTGGATTTCACACCTGATGATGATTGCTTGTGTTGCAGTCGAAACGTCGTGAGAATTGTTATTGTTTTATATTTCTATTATTTTATGATTTCCCTTCTACGTGACTTTACCGAAAGAACCAAGAATATGAGTCCCTGCAGTCACGAAAGCTTTAAATCAAAAATGTTCCTGCTCTCTTTGAATTTTGCCCCAACTCTGAAGCATATACACGCACACACACACACGTATTAATTCGGGTATATAAACAATTATTCTACCCTTTCACAGTCCTCAAATGTGAACAGACAATATTAATGCGACCATATTTGCTCGGTTTTTTTTAACATAGAAAACATAACAATGACAGTTGTCCGTCACGCTCGATCCACTGCTCTATTAAGCCCCTCCCCCCCAAATCATCGCCCACCCCTCTTGGTGTGGTGACACAGCAGTCTGCATAGCTCCTGCACGTGATCTAATCTCATTGCTCCATCTCCACAGTGGACGTCCTTCGGCTATCACTCCATCGCCAGTCCTGACCATCGGGCATCGTTCCTTGCAGTGGTGTGTGTCCTGCCTCGGTGTTTTTCTTTCTGTCTCTTCGTGATTCGTTTGCACATTTGTTTAGGCTTTACTTCATTTGCTGTGTTGGAGGTCCATGTTTCCCATATATACGTCCTAACATGCAACACGAACTGATTAAATGTTTTATTCTGTAGGCACAGTGACAAACCGGGTATTTGCAATTGCATTTCATCATCAACTGCCGTGGCAGTTGAAACATTGGACGGGTCTTTTTTGTTTAACCCCCCGCCCCTGCCTCTGTCCACCCAGCAGCATAATGAATGTACACCACAGTTAGGCGATCCGCAGGTTTCGTATTGTGTAGCAAAGCATCGGTTTTCGCACTTCTCCCAAGATGTATGGTCGGCGTGGAAGAGTAGGCCAAATATCCATTACAGGCTCTCTTGAACGTCTGATAGTGGAAGCACTATTGGACGCGGTATGGATGTACGTATGTTGAACTTCTTTCACACCATACGTAACCACCCATGCTAATGAGAGGTATGGGGGGGGGCAGAGGTCAGGCAAGCAGGGGCAGCAGGGCTGCACCTTTATCTTTTCCTCGTTTAATGAAGCACAGCAGAGTTCTTCCTGGTTTTTTTTTTGCAGGTTATCGTCAGTTCACGCAGGTCCAGACGAGTATATGCTTACAGCGTCATGAGCTGCCAGAAGATGGCTGGAATATCCATCTGTAAGCCCAAGTCCTTGAACTGTCAAACCCTCCCCCGTTGAATACATTCTGCTCTCTTCTCAGTTACGATCTGTGAACGTTGTATTTATAAACATATAAATACGGCTACCCATTATTTTGCCTCCGCTGTCTACATGAATAATGCCAAAGTAATGCTGTGTTTGTGTGCGAGTCTATGTGTGTGCTGGGGCCTGTATGTAGCATTCCTGGACCTATTTGCCAAATTAGTCCACACACCCTGGTTTGTGTGAAAAATTCTGCAATACTGCATTATTTTTCTTCCAGCAAATTGGGTCCTAAAGAACGTGGGTTTAGGTGGCCGGTTTTGGGAAACTTGTCTCAGAGGCAACATGCCCCTCCCGAAGGCCAAGGTTCACTGCTTTAAGTCTTCATCTTGGCCCATAGAGCATGGTCTGTGGGCTAGCGCAACTTGACGATGTATATGTACACCACCATCCTTCGGAGACGTTCCTGAGCCAAACATGTTGTGCATGCATCACGTAATCCCACGATGGTCTTTTACACACGCGAGTCATGGTGGCTGGGGTTGTGTCATTGCCAAAACGAAGCACTTCCAACAAGTAAAATTCTGTGCTTCTCATTTCCCGATGCGGGTTCTGCTGCAACTTAGAATATTCCTCTGAGGTGGTCTGTGTTGCTCTCAGGGGTCGGAGAACTGAGAAAGCACTGTGGAAATCCTGAGTTATAATCCAGACAGTCAGCCGTGATTAAATCCATTGATGGTCTCAGTCCGTTCACAAATGGCTGGACAAAAGCCCCCCGTAATATTTGATTTGCTTACGTTTCAGCACTGAGAACTAAAAATATTGTTTAGTGTCTCATCTGACAATCTCTTAATATGGTTTATGGGAAAATACAACCCCATACCGTGTAAGAGATAAGGCACTTTGGCTGTATTTTTGGCAAGATTCCTTTGAAAATATCTGTTATAACCATTTTCTAAATCGTGGGGATGCGAGATTCATGAATGGATTCTTCATACCACGATGTGATTCCAATCGCACAATTAGATTTTTTTTAAAAGACGAAATGAAGCCATGTTGTTCTGGCTTGGCCTGCAATATTAAAAACAAAATATTCGTACTAATGAGGCTTCCCGTTCTGATAATATTTTTTAAAATGCTTTTACTTCCACCCCTGACAATAATAAAATATAGATTTGACCAAAGCTGCATAGCTCGCGCATTTTTAATTACCGTCTTCCATGAGTTTAATCTTATTTTTTTGACAAAGGCCATGTACTTCCGGCCAATTAAGGCAAAGCTAATGTAAAAAATCAAGGGAATCAAGGTAACAATTTTGTAAAAAATGTGCACATTGTACGAGATACTTTCGTTTTACAATACTGTATTGTGAGTTGGTCTACTCATAAAACCCACACCCCCACACAGGCTTTTAAATATACACACGTAAGCATAGGAGGGATCGGTAGTGCAGTGGTCAAATCATTGCACTATGAATCCAGCAATCTGAGTTTGATTTCCAGCCATGGCTGACAAAAGTGGTGAGAAATACCAGAACCAGTCCTGAGCCCTCCCTCCATCACTTCACCAACACGCACTCACCAGTGTGGTGCCGTTTTGTCAAATAACCTCCATGAAGATTTGGTGTGAGGGGGCCTTCGCACTCAACAACAACAAAAAATGTAACTTTTCTTGACTCGCAGGTCTGTTAAATAATTGTTTTTAAACTACAGTGCAGGTTTATCTTTCAGAGTAGACCCAAACTCTGAATTAAACATCCCGGTGCATCACAAACTAAACCCGTAATTTTTGTTTTGTTACGAATGACAGTTGCGAATCGCACGTCAAGAAAATTCACCTTTGAGTTTTTGTCAACTTTTTAGGCTTCGATGCCCCAACATCTAACGATTTCCCATGTTCGCTGTGTGGTGGCAAACCTGAGGGCCAAACGGAGGTGGAATCTGTCCAGATTCGTGGGAAGTGAGCAAATCTGCGAGTAACGAAGGACCCCCGCTGAGTTTGAGAAGCTTGTGGAGAGGAGCACAGTATCCCATAGTTAAATGCGTTGCGCCGGCGTGTCGTGATTGCGCGTTGTCCAAATAAATAAAAATCCCCCTGTGGAAAGGTTATGGGAAAGATGGTGTGTGTGTGTGCAAATTGAAACGTAATGCATGGTGGATGCAGACCTCCCTTGCGAATAACGAGTCACCTCCAAAGCAAGAATATGCTTAGCGTGGTCTTGCGGGCGTTAACCCTCCAAGCAAAGCCATTTGTTGCGAACCTGAAAAAGCATATTTTGACTTTGACCAAAATAATACCTCATGCTCTGCCCGTTGAAAAAAAAATCTTCTTCCTTTGCTAAATTGACATTTCGTCAATGCCTGCTGAGTTCCAGTGGCTCTCTGATGAAGTTTGTCGTGATACTTCTTGGACAGGATTTTGACAAAGCGTTGCGCAATGCATAGGTGATTGCAACGGTTGCGATTAAACTCAGGGGGGTATGTAGATGTGATTGTATGTGCGGCGACATTGAGATTTTCGTTTTTATACGTATGGGGTTGATTGTGAAAATGATTAACGGTTGAATTAAAAATAAGACACTTTTTTTTATTTTGCTAAATTATAAATGGCTGCCCACTGTTTCAACCCTGAGAAAGTCTATTTGGTTGAGCTATGGCTACAGCTTGTTATGGTTCATGGAACGTCTATTATTTTACCAATGTTTCACCCTCAACACAGTCAGAAACATCAACAAATTTTCTCAAAAGAGAATTAGGAGGTTGCACACGTGCACACACATAATTTATCGAAGCTGGTGTATTTATTAAATAGGGTCCATGTCCCTAAGCAAACACTAAAGCTCAACGGCAAATATTCAACACATGGATATCGTATATACGCTCACCTAAGTGTGGCCGTACTGAATTTGGGACGGTCCATTTTTACACGCTGGATCAGGCCGTGAGAACATGGCACCATTCACCCTGCTCATTTTGGCTAATGGTATGGCTTTCCGATCATTATGGATTGTCAGACCAATGACACGACCTTGCATTTTTTCAGCGTGGCTACATTGTGGTGCATGATAAACGACTCGTCCTGCTTATCGGCTAATTTACATCTCTCTCGCTTGCGATACTTAAACACCGTACATCTTCAATGTTAACAATTAATATGTAATCTTAATAGGTGATTGCTATGATTGTAGTTTTGCATACTGCCTTTCTAAAATAACATGATGCCAGTAGAAATGAAGATGCTGACCTACAAAATCATAATGCTGACGATGATGACTTTGATTTTGCAGTGAATCCGAAAGTGATCTTTGGACGTTCATTGCCAATCGATTGCTTTGCGAATTGTGCAACATTAATTCGACAGAACAAGCACTTGTGTGATTATTTTTCAAGGGTACGCAGCCTTAACATGTCACAACTCCTGGTTACAGGGCTGCTGTGGGAATAGCAGGTGTACCGTTACCTTGTCATAATTAAATTTCATCCATCCCCTCCAGGGGATTTCTGGGTGAATGGGTTAATAACAATCAGCATTATCAGGCCCTTGTTTAACGTGACTTATGTTTTCTAATGATTAATTTCTGCGCGGTAAATTTGCTAAACCTACTTATAGATTCAGTTCAACATACATATATACAGAACGCCTTAACAAGACACTTTTGTAAAGATACCCCCTTTTCGATTTAAAGCTTTCGTGACTGCAGGGATTCATCTTCGTGGTTCTTTCGGTAAAGTCACGTAGAAGGGAAGTAATAAAATAATAAAAATAAAACATAATAAAATAAAATAATTCTCACGACGTTTCGGCTACAACGCAAGCAGCCGTCTTCAGGTGATACTTAAACACCGTACATCTTTAAGTGAAGACGGCTGCTTGCGTTGTAGCCGAAACGTCGTGAGAATTATTTTATTTTATTATGTTTTATTTTTATTATTTTATTACTTCCCTTCTACGTGACTTTACCGAAAGAACCAAGAAGATACCCCCTTTTGTAAAGATACCGCCTTTTATACTTTTAATTCGGCCTGGTGGCTAAGGGGTTGAGCTAGCGGCATGCAATTGGAAAAATGTTAAAGTTTAAATCCTGGTTGGGGGTTAACTGAACCACTTTCTGGAGAAATAAACAGCAGTTGTCCTACGGATGGACTCGCCTTCGCAGTGAGAACAAAGAATTCCCACGACTGGCCCAGGCCCTGTGAGCAGGAGATGAGGACTGCCCAATTGCTCGTTCGAACAGAAAATCACCTCGACTTTACTTTTCAATTCTAGATTTGAAGCTTTCGTGACTGCAAGGATTCGTACTCTTAGTTCTTTCGGTAAAGTCACGTAGGTAAAAAATGAAATTAAAATTGATAAAAAAATAAAATAAAATAATAAAATCACGACGTTTCGGAGGCAACACAAGTCTCCGTCATCAGGTGGGACCGTCACAGCCAGATTTGCTGCATCAAGTGAGGCAGGGATTCCAAGATGCAAGCTCTTAAACACAAGTTAAGGGGGAGGAGAGGGGGGGTGGGGAGCTTATCAGAATGTGGTACCCAATGAATGGAATAATTATTTAATTTCTCTCTTTTTCTTTGTCCACAGCCACTTTGCATTTAAGGTGGGCACCAGCTCCACCCCGCTGTTCGGCACGACGGGGCCCGGCTACCCGCTGGGCTCCAACACGGTCTACTCCACCCCACCGCGCCCGCTCCCTCGCGGAACTTTCCCCCGCGCCGCCCCCTCGCTCAAGCCGGCGCCCAGCGCCTGCAGCTGGAGGTGCACCGCCCTGGTCGCCATCTCGCTGGCCCTCGCGCTCACGGTCCTGCTCTCCTACTTCGTCGGTGAGCGCCACGCGGCTTCGCTCTCGATACCCGCGGCCCCGTGTCATGCGCGCATGTGTGGGCTCGTCGTCGCGCGAGAAGCCGAACTGGTTCCGGGCCTCTGCTAGGTCGACTCGGCCTCAAATGAGTACCTGGTGCGGCGTGTAAACATTTAAAGTGGGAAGAATGGCTATACATTGATTGTATTTTCTATACCCCATGAAATGTGGATGCCAGTTCGTGGTGAGGAGTAGAAGTCCCATCCAGTCCTGGTGCCTGGTGCCATGATAAACCACACCACTAAAAACGGTAAAGGTGCAGCCCTGCAATTGTTTGCTCACACCACTGCTGCCAGAAGGATTTCCGCTGGATAGCCCCTATCTAGGGTAATTGGCCTACTCTTCCTTGCTGACCAGACGTCTTGAAAGAGGTAGAAGTACCCACACATTAACCCATCACGCACAACCTGCCAATCAGCTGCCTATGGTTGTACCCATTTATTATCCTGGGTGGACAAATATGGGGGGAGGAGGAATAAGCAAGTTTGCCCAATGCCCACAACTGCTGACCTGGAGATCAAATCGAACTGTTGACCTCTCGATTGTAACTCCAGTGTGCTGACCATGCATCACATGAGCATCCCAACCACATGTAACCCGGGAAAAAGGGCATTTCTTATGGTGCCTGCTTAATGGCACCTGTCCTGGTAGATCAGCCAAGTTGGCCAGAATTCTCCGCAATCGTTGACACGCTGTGCTCTCACGGTGGAGATTCATTGATATAAGTTCCTCCAGTATTTTTGTGACATTACTTATGATTGACCCTAGCCAGACCCAGCCAAACTTGCACCTCATAAAGGGGCCCTTTTGAAAACCTGATATAAAACGTAATTTTTTTCCCTGTTAACCGCCCCGAGGGCTTGAACCCGGGATCAGAGATTTCCTGGCTCAGTAACCTGACACGAGATTTAGATCTGCCACATTCAAGGCCACCTCTAGAAGCGACTTATCCTTTCAGCATTCATTTCAAATCATGTAGCTCCTCACAGGCTAGAATGAAAAGCAAGTTATACGCGATTGCAAGACTATTTGTTTATGTTAATCTGGTACGCGGTTGGCATAGCGTACTTGGCATAGGCCTCTGATTTAAAGAGTAAAATGGGGCCTCGCACATTCACCCTCAACCACCCAGCCCCTTTCCGTAGCCCGGTGCCTGAGGGCCCTCTGGCCTTGTGCAGCATCTGTGCAGTTGTGTCGCCTGCACACTTCGATAGCTACGTTGCCGCAGACGCTGCCAGGTCTAAGGTTGGATCAGATCTGGATAAGGCTTAGTTCGTTCATGTTTTTGTTGTTAAGTATTTGCGTTATATTTTTGCAGCACACAAGAACAAAGGCCCGCCGCAGAACTTTGAGGGCGACAAAAGCCAAAAACCGCACGCGAATATCCACCAGGCCCCATGTACTCGACGCCGTCCTGGTTGAGGGGAGGGGGGAGAGGACAGACAACCTGGGGAAAGGGGAGGGGCAGATAAATTATTGTCTCATTTACATAGACAAATCGCGCAGGTAGAACATTCGTTTTTTTGTAACGTAGGGGCGGGGCAGGGGGATGTGGTTAACATACGGGTGGGGATCAGTTTGTTCATGTTTACGCACGTAACAATGTATTCGTTGATTTCGACGAAATGCTTCCCTACGTTTTACGGCGAATTGAATTGTGCACGGTTTAATTTCGTGCAAAATACACGTGTGCACGTTACATTTTGCCTCGCAGTGAAATAAGCTGTACATACAAAACAAAGTAAAACAAAGGATAAACAGCGCAAACAAGATGGCAAAAAACGACTATGAGGATTAGATTATTATATTTTATTGTGACAAATTTGTGCATTTCCGGGGGTTGGAGGTCAAATGTTACTCACCTGTAGATGGTGGTCAAAATTAAATTTGAGTTGCTGGATTTAAAGACAGCTAGATCTCATTGAGATCATTTGTCAATTTTGCAAGGGAGACAAACACAAATACAGATATGGATATAGAAGAAGAAACAAGCTTTACATTCCAGCAGTCTTGCCTCCTGTTAGAACTTGATATCCATGGAAATGTATCGGTATTATTGAGTGAACGAAAGTGACTTTCCGCCCGAGATCCGTCACCATTTCCCACACCCGCCGAGCTTCGTGATTTTACAATCGGCAAAACAAGACCAGATCAGCGCAACATTTGTTTAAACATCCTTCAATAATGCGCGCTTTTGTGAATGCTCTAAATCTTAAACGGGACCCACGGTCGTCGTTTTTGGTGCAATAAGCAATCAAGGCTCGGCGCCGCTTGAAAAAAATAAATAAAACTGCAGGCATGGCAGGAGGTGGTAAGGGCAAGTCAACGTTTAAATAATGCAATTAACCTTTTGCATCGCGGCTTAGGAAGTCTAAGCCCCGTTCTCGTTGCCGAGGAATGACACCAATTAGGGTGTGTCACTTAGGCCACAGCGTATTTTGTTGACATTTAATATTTATACCAAAATTTACGCGACCAGTGATGCTTGCAATAGTAACAACACCACCGTCGGAATATGAAGTAACTTCATGTTGTCACACGTATTTTTTGTGAGCCTTCAAAAAAATGCACGTAATTTGGGAGTTCATCGATTTCTTTCGACGGAGACAAAAATAATGTTTTCCTCATTTAAATTCGTGCGCCTTGACAATGAAAGGGACTTTTTAAACGTAAGGGTGGTAATTACTGTGACACTTTTGCAGTCTCTCATGCTTGATGATTTCGATTACTTTCACTCGTGGGATTTCCTAGTGTGTACTTTCACGAGAGTGTTAGCATGCTAAAGCAACAATTATGGGATTCTGAGGTGAGTGGAATATATTTATTCATACTGGTCTGGATGTTGGCATTAGCATTCACTTTCCATGCGCGCGTATAGTGAGTAGCAGGATATTTAGCAGCTCGAAGCAGACTTAGCAGCTCGCTTAATGTTCTCTTGCAAGGATGTCGAGCTCCATGTAGTTATACTTCACTAATCCCATTGTCCCGTGGGATGCATGCGTCTTCAAAATTGTGATCACGTTGGGGCATAATGAGGGTAGCGAGACTGCGTTGATGGTAATAAAACTTGGGCCTCTTTGTCTCAAATGTTGTAAGTTCGTGTTAATCCTCTAAGCCTCAAATGTTAGCCCTCAGATAGTTCGCCCCGTGAGGCAATCCCACTTTCCCCGAATTAAAATCCATTGTCGCTGGGAGATGCGAGAAGGATATCATTAGTCAGACTCGATTTCCATGCTTTCTGCCAGCACTATTCAGCACACCAGGGCCACCCCCCCCACCTGCCTCCCCCCCCCGGAGCGCTGAATTGTGGCCCACCAGTTACGAGCTGGCAAGATAGGGCCAATGCGGTCAAGGCTTTAATTAGTGCATTTGCAATAAAATGATGGGCCCGTGTGGTGCAATGGGAGTTTTGTGTGTGTGTGTGTGGCCCACAGAGGTGGTTTGCTGTGCTTGCACTAAATAAGGATAACATGCGCTGTACGGATGCCATCATCCACTTAGAGCAGTGTGAATGAATGTTGCAGGAGTGTGTTCTATAATGTAGGCTTATTTGGGTCGTCCTTATTGACAGCATCAGGCATTGCCATCCCTCTCTGGTTCACAGGAGACCCTCCAGGCGTTTGGAGCACATCTTGACACGTCCTTAATGCTCGGAACCGACATCAATCAATGAACACCGATTTAAAATAACGTTCTGACACTCCCGTCTTTGTGGTCTCGTGGCGGTGAAAATATAACACATCACGAGTACGGCGAGTTTAGCTTTTTTGTGCAGATGATACCATTTATTCTTGATTTGAAGCTTTCGTGACTACAGGAATCCATACTCATTGGTTCTTTCGGTAAAGTCACGTAGGTAGAAAATAAAATAAATCACGACGTTTCGGGCGCAACACAAGCGTCCGTCATCAGGTGGGAAAGCATGATGCTAGGACAGTGATATTTAGAAATTGACCTAACTTCAATGAGAAAACGTGCATTTGTGTCATCATGCTTTCCCACCTGATGACGGATGCTTGTGTTGCGCCCGAAACGTCGTGATACGATTTATATTTACTTTAAAGTGTGCTTTTCGGAGGATCAAACGTTGACCTGATTGAATTGTGTTCATTGCTGGGGTGTAGATTTGACCTCAGGTTCTTCAGCGAGTCGGCTAGTCTGAGTTCTTATTGGGAGCGAGCAGAAATGAGTTCCATTGCAGGTGTGTGCACTCCTTGCAGTGCATGGTTATTTTAAAGCGAGACTTGCATTGAGCAAATTCACACTAGCGAATGCAAAGTTTGTTACATCGTTACTAAGTTGTGTAGCCTCTCTAAATATGTAGTTGGGTGTCTGGCACACTACACAAGGCATGTTTTTAACGCTGCTGTCAACTACTTGTGGGTACGCGCTGGTGTTTTCTGAATTTTTTCATCATGATTTTTTTTTATCATGAACTCAAAAGCACTTGAACAACTAGCATCATGTGTAATTATTTTGTACTGAACATGCAACATCATGGTTAGGAGGCATTTGAGATTAATGAGATAGAATGTGGGTATAATGTGAGTGTATGAGATTAATTAGATATATTATAGGTGTGTTGGAGGCATATGAGATTAATTGCAACATTCTGTCTCATTAACTGTTTCTTACATTGTCATAACGGTATAGTGAATTCATTTATGCAGCCTGAGGACTAATAATCTGTTTTGGTAAAATTTTGTTTTCTTGTTTGCTTGGTTGCCCCCATGCATTCATGTGATAATTGCTACTTCGTGCTGAAGTAGATCATCAAGACTCCGAGTTCAAAAATGCATTTCATACGGCCTGGTTCCTGTTTGGTAAAGAGAAGAACCATGACAATGCCAGGAGATCTGCCGTGGGATATTGTAAAGCAGCCTGGACGTTTGGAATAGGTTCAGTGGCAAAACTTTAAAACGGTCGGTGTAATCACGTGGAAGGCAATGTGTGTTCAGCATG